ATTTCCTTCTCCAGCTCAATTTACAGATGAGGAACTGAAGCAAACAGGGTTAAGTGACTTGCCCAGGGTCACAGAGTTAAGTGTTTGAGGCTGGATTTGAACTCATGTGCCACCTAGCTGCCCTGAGTAGCATACTACATGTGAGTATATCACATACTCACAAATCCTTTAGTGGCAACAACCTATATCCAAATAACTATGAACCCCAGCTTGCTTCCTTTTGAACTCTTAAGGACAAGGGATCTAAGACTGGGAGAAGAAGCTTTTTAACCATATGGAATCCTTGCCCAAAGAATGTAAAGAGAAAAGTATATGAAAAATGAGATTTAATCAGGTATTAGAAGGTGATTTTGGAATAAAAAATGCCACTAAATCATCCAAATTATTTTGAGATTCAGAATGTACATCACACATTAAAAACATTTTGACTTCTTTAAAAATAATTGTTTGAGAGAACTTTCTGCTTACTCAAAATATAATTTGTGGCAAAATTGGAAAAAATAGTGCTTTTTATAAGTAAATACTGATGACTTTTTAATCTTTATTACTTTTGAACACTTTGTACAGTGAGAAGAATAAAAACACATAAAGACTATGCATTTATCAGCCCAGATTTCCCTCTTCTACATAATCTGTTCTTTATATTGAGTGCTCAGCACATTTGGTGCTTGGTTACACTCTCCTTATAAGTTTGCAGAATTTTTTCAGTCTTATTATTTGACTACTTTGTGTACTTTTATATTTTTTTAAAAATATGTTCTAATATTCTTGATTTGAAAGAAAGAACAAAGAGGAAAGGACTGAACTGTTAAGCAAATAATCATGAAGTAGTATTCACTTCCCATTAAAAAAAATACAATCATAAAATTGTAGAATTAGAGGGAATCTTTGAGATGGTCTCTGTTGACTTCTCACCCTTCCCTATTTTGCTGAAAAAATGAGCTAAAGAGATAAAATGAATTGCCTAAAATTATACAACTAGTTTAATAGTTTAATCTAGAACTAGCTAAAACTAGGAGTGTCTTAATTCTTTACTTCATTTTTGTTCCATGACACCACGCTTTTCAGTCGAATCATTTTTAACTTGTAATTTTACCTCTTACTTTACTATGTTTAATTCATGATACAGATATGAAAATGAAAGAAGTAATAGGGAAGGTGTGAAAGAGGTCAACTCAAAGATTCATTACATACCTCATCAATTCATGAATTCAAAATTCCCAAAGTATGTTCTCATAACCAAGTGATACCTATTTCTGATCTGTGGAGTGGTATCTAGATACTCAAATTAAAGCTGTTTAATTGTGATTATCTTCAAAACTATCCTCAACACCTAATTCTGAATAATTACTGGAGGAGGGTAAGGAGGGATTGACAAAACTACTTAGGGCAGTCTTGTGCTTATTAGATACTTGTGAAATGTGCATCTCCTTTGAATGTGTAGTCATAACCAACTACCCTTTACCCTAATAAGACCCAATAAGCTTTTAGAAAATCAGTATTTTTATGGTCCTTGGGCCATCATGAGATGTAATTGCATATTTATTGGTAGTTATAATGAGCCATTATTAGCATGGTGCTAAAAGTATTTTTAATGAAAATAACCACAGGAAATCAGCTCTTAGTAAATATGGGGGTGAGAGAGAAGAAGTAGGAGGAGGAAGGGAAGAAGAAAGGACAGGTGCATGAGTATCCATCCTGGGCTTTATTCTTTCCAGGGCCAAAGTAACTCCCAGATAAAAAGATAAACACAATAGAAGATAGATGAATAAGCTTTCACTTAATGCGTTACTTCTGCACAGCAGAAATAATCCTGAAAAAGTTTATGTACATCCCAAAAGGATTCTTTCACTGTCAGACAGTTCCATGGGCATGGGGGAGAATGAGTATGTGTGCCAGTGAATACATCCAGTCTGTTTTCACTGACAATGATAAATTACCTTGGTAAATATTCTTACTTGGAAAGATTGCAGTTTTATCCCTATACTTGTGCTGTAAGAAGGACAGTTCCATCCTGATACTTTTCTTTTAAAGTCAAGCCTATATGCTACAAATTAGAGCAGAATCCCATTATGCCTGCATTATAAGCTTCCTGAGTTAGAGTGGGAAAGATACATCATTATGAATTTGAACATTATTTGACCCTCAGTATAACTGATTCTCTGGTATACAGAGATGTACTGTAGAGTGGGGTCTGCTTTACTATATATACACCTTCTATTAAGATGTGGTACTCTAAAATGACAAAATTCTTTAAATTTTAATATCTTCACAGAATCATAGATTACAATCAGAAAGGGATCATGGTGGTCATTAGTCCAATCTACTCATTTTACAGATGAGAAAACTAAGGTTGAGAGATTGACTTGCTCAATCAAGGTCATAGCTCTCTAGTAGGTATCTGAAGTGGGATTCAATCCTAGGCTTTCCTAACAAGCACTGTGTCCACTATGCCATACTGCCTCTCCAGAGATAAAAGTTATGCTTTTAGAACTTTATAGAACCTAAAACCTGATATTTGGGGAAATAAATTGAGAGGCTGTGTGCCATAATATATAATGTTGGACTTGAAACCAGGAAAACCGACATTCAAATCCCAACTCTGACACTCACTAGTTATGTAACCATGGGCAGGTAACCTAACTTCCCTGGGTCTCAAGGGAATGTCTAAACCTACTAAGCTGTGGATGAATTGTGGGGTATAGTGGTGGAAAGAATTCTCACACCTGCGGAACCACAAAGCCTTAACATGGTGATATAAAGTAATCATTTAAAATTAAATGGGAAAAACTTTCAATTTTAATATCTTTATGTAGCAGTAGAGAACAAGGACTGGGCATCATGTTTAAATTTCTCTGCCTCTTTGACAACTGGTAGACTTTGAGAAGTTACCAACAAAACAAATATCCTACCTAGTCCAGCCTGGTCTCAACTGATGGTTCTTTTTAGGAAGGAATTAGAATAAATTCCATTTGGTACCTTGAAAAAGAAATTGTATTCATCTATGCCTATTTCTTCTATGATACAGTGTTTTATTTGTAAAAATCATGTTGCTTTCTCAATGGTCTACTAAGATTTGGGTATCTGTTATTCTTTGGTATGTTATTAACTAATGAAGTTTCTTATTTCAATGTAAAAACAACCATGGTGTCTTTCTAAAGTAATATTCCATCTTCCCAACTTACCACGTGATAAGAGTAATTTTAATAATCTTGCTGCTATAAATTTTCATCCTCCTTTGAATGATGAGGAATCAAAGAAATGTGAAAGAAAGGAGTTACAATGGCATGGTCAGGCCCCAGGAGACAAGAGGAATAAAGCATTATAAAGACTGTAGAACATGAAGGGCAGTATGAGACAAAATGATAAGAAATGGACAATAGTACTATCATAGAACAGTCATAAGATTTCAGAATTGTCCTAAGCTCGACAAAATTAAATGTAGGATTTAATGAGAGAAAAATAATACTTCAAAAAATTTTTCATTTATGTCTCCACATATATGTGTATTTTTATTATATAATGCTAAGGAGGTTATTTAAAACAAAACTCCCTGTGTAAAAATTATTTATAGAATATTATGTATGTTTTCCATTTTAAGACTATATATAAGTGTGTTTATCTATATCTACATACATATATACCGTGATATATAAAAGATATATGTAAGATACATAAAAGATACAAAAATATATATCTGTCCTTTGGCTATGTTGTTGTTCAGTCGTTTTAGTCGGGTCTGACTCTTTCTGACCCCATTTGGGGTTTTCTTGGCAAGGACACTGCAGTGGTTTGTCATTTCCTCCTCTAACTCATTTTACAGATAAGAAACTGAGGCAAACAGGGTTAAATGACTTGCCCAGGGTCATACAGCTAGTAAGTGTCTGAGGCCAGATTTGAATTTAGGAGGATGAGTCTTTCTGACTCTGGGCCTGACACTCTATCCCACTGAGCCACCTAGCTGCCTTCGCCAATGTACACAACCCAATTTTCATTTCAAATGTAAAAAGATGTTGTAAATGACCCAAGAGGCACAAGTATGTGCTTTTTAAGTATATTATTTAAAGCTGTTAGTATCCAGATAATCAAAACAGAAAAGCACCACCAAACAAAATGATATTTTTTATAAAACCTCCCCTCAAAAAAGAGAGAAAATAAGGATTTGGGGCTTTATTCTAATAAGCCACCTACATGGCATCACTTTACTACATAATTACAAGCTCTCTCTAGTTGATATAGAATTATAGATCTTACCATTCTGTCCATAGTAATACAGTTTGTAATATAACATGTGTGTTGTAAAGCCATTCTATGGCATCACCACCCCAAATTTGAAACCATTAGCTAGTACATATTATTTGTACCTCTGTACATTTATATGCATCCTTCTTTCATTTGCTTTCTCTATAGTTATTTTCAAAAGACAACTTTTCTCAAAATGTAATTACACATATACGCTCTTAACATGCCAGAAGATAACATTGTATCATCAAAATTTCTGAATAAATATATTTCAAAAAAGTAATTACACTAAAATTTCCCTTGTGTGTATCATAGTCCTCACTCTTCTATGGACAATGAAGTCATCACCATCATATACCTTTGATCTTGCAGTCATTTGTAATTCCAGATTAAGATATCGCAAATGAATAATTATAACTTATGCCTTCATTGAATGGAATAAAAAAAGAAGATAATGTCTAATGAAGTGGGTTTTTGTTTTAGACAAAAGTGAAACAATTTATAACATTCACAAAGAAAATGTATTAATTGTATTAAAAATCGATTTATGATTTTAACATCTTAAAAGCCTTTCTTAATGGTCTAAGATGTAACTACATAGTGATTTATCCTCAAACCAAAAAAAAAAAAAAAAAAGCTTTTTAAAGAACTTTAACCACAAGCTACAAAATACTTGAATTAAAACAGAAAAGTTGTACTTGAATAACTATTGAGCTTCTGTACTATTCTTGTCTCTTCTCCTTCTTCTGTTCATACAGGCTGTTCCACCACCCAACTTTGAGATGCCAGTTTCTATCCCAGTGTCCAATCACAACAGTTTGGTGTATAGTAATCCAGTCAGCTCACTGGGCAACCCCAACCTTTTGCCATTGGCCCACCCTTCTTTGCAGAGAAATAGTATGTCTCCTGGAGTGACACATCGGCCTCCAAGTGCAGGTAACACAGGTATGTACTGTCAAATATTGAATGTCAACAGATCATTTTTAAGAGGCTACTTTTAGCAAAAGAGTTATGGTATTTTATTTACTTTGTGCTAAGGCAAGTTTCCATCTCATCAATTCCAACATTATCCAAGTTATTAAGAGAAAAAATCAGAAGCCAAACCATTTCTAAATTCTATGCAGCATAAATCTATGATATATTTATATTGGAATCTTTTGAAAGAATGCTTTGTAGAAAAAAAGGTTTAAATCTGCTTGGGCCTATGGATCTGCATTATAAGAAATTAAGTATTTTATTCACATTTTTTAAAAAGTTTCCTTCAAAATGTCTAAATAGATAGCTCATAAAGCCTAAGGAAAATTTGTCACCCATTAATTGCTTCTATTCTTTCAGTTTTAAAAAATGCATTAAAATGTATCCATATATAACTCTTTCCAGTTTATAGAAATTTAATTGAATTTCACATTTGATGACATTAAAACTAATCTTAAAATGCAAACATTTTAAAAGTACATTATTTTTAATATGATTGTCTTAAAATGTAAATGCTTCTAATTTTTAAAAAAAATAATAAAATAAAAAGCAGCTAATGAGCTGTATAATATCACCTGAGAAAGAAAAGCAAACATATCTTTTCAAAAAGAGAAATATCCTCTTTTTGGAAAGAGAGAAAAAAGTGGAATTATAGTAAAGAGACCTGTATTGAATCCTCACTCTGCTTCTTACTGCTTGTGGACCTTGAATAAGTCTCTTCTCTTCCTTATACTCTTTATGTACAGAATGAAAGAATTAGAACACTTAATTTCAAAGTTCCCTCCTGAGACCATGAAAACACTGTCAATCTTGCTCCTTAGCCGAGGCAATAATCCCAAGAGCAAGAATGCAGTATTACATGAGAAGCACTAGCCTCAGAAAACTGATATTCAGACATGACTTCAATCATACATCATACCCACGTGATGTCGTAAGATCATTGTAAGTCTCAGTTTATCCATTTGTAAAATGAGTACAGTAAACTTCACCCTATATGCATCGCAGAGTTTTGAGGAAAGCACATCGCAAACATAAAAAGGAACTGTTCCTTTTTCTTTATAAAGGAACTTAGCCTTGCCATATCATTTCCTTTATTATTGAAAGCAAATATGGTAGCATAGGGATTGGACTTGTGATTTCATCAGTGTAGACAGAGGAAACTTCCTCTATTGATGCAATTTGGCACCTTCTTGGCACTCTCTATTCTTTGAGAGTTGCCTGAAGCCACTGAGAGCCAGGATCATGCACCCAGAATGGGGATTTCGATCTTCCTGGCTTTGAGGCCAGAATGCCTTTTGAGGGCTTCTTAATTCTTTTTAACCAAATTTTACTCTGAAAATAAATTTTGCCTCAATATTTTAAAATCAGCCATGAACAGAATAAACACTACATTAGGAAACATGTCTATGAATCATTAATAAATAATGGACAGGGACTTTAAAAAAAAAACTTTCTTGCACTTGTTTCACATACTGTATTTGGAAGAAAGGGGGTTACATGATTTGACACAACAATCACTTCTCAGTAAACAGTCTTTCCCATAGTATCTGCCTGAGGGCGGAAACAATTTAGCAAAACTTTAACAAAGAAAAATTATATTTTTGCTGCTGCCACCGTAAAGATATCTGTGCTGTAGAAGGACAAATAGTAAATAGTCAATCGGTTTGCATGGGCAGTTGATAGATGAAGGTAGTTTCAGTTTTAGTTGGTAAAAACATTAATTGTGTAAGAGACCCAAGTTGAAATATACAGTGATAAGTATTTATTGGTGCCTGCCTCACCAACCTATTTTATTGTGTCTTTGGTTTTGTTGGGGCAATTACCTTAAAATAATTACGTTGGCAAAAAATAAAAATACTCAGACCAATCAGATGTGACTTTTTTGTAAAAAAGTGTAAATTTTCTTGGACAATGTAAGTACTAAGAAAAAGAAATGATCTTGGCATGGTGTCAGTGTAGAATGTATTTTTAATGTTTGAGAACAGCATGTAATGATGAAACAAATATTTCAGCTGTAGTAGGACTTGGGGGTGCTCTGCTATTTCAGGATTATTTGAGGGGCAAGGCATTAATGATGCTGAGGGTAAAGCTTTTGTGATTTTTTTTTTTTAGTTATTCCTGTTCTGACAATTTCCTCTTAATCCATAGGTGGTCTGATGGGCGGGGACCTCACAACCGGTGCAGGCACCAGTGCAGGTAATTGAGACAATTTTGCATACTCCAGTCTATTTGGGGGGAGAGAGGATTCTTAGAATGAATTGTGTACAGTGAGATTATTCAGAAGGCAGAATGGAGGGGTTTGTGACAATAAAAGGCAAAGCCTGCTCTTCTAACTATCTCCCAGTTAAATCACATTCTGAGGTGGTTACTTATAGTATCTTAGTTAATGAAATTTCAAAAAGTATGCAATATATTATCAAGACCTGAGCATTCATAATATCCAATTAAGTTCTAGGCACCATTGCAAGGTAGCATTATAAGGGCATATCACTTACAGTATTGAATACTTGATGAATTAACTTCCCTAGGCCTAAAATACAAGATAGCATCATCACAGGTATTTGCATAATACATAATAATATAATTTATAAAATAAAACCATAGTTGGCATTTAAATGAGCATAGCTATTAAATAAGAAACATGAAGGGGGGAAAAACCTTGAGTTTTGTTTCTACACATCTAAGTCCTTTATACTGTGGCCTCAGTGGCACATTCCATCAAGGTTCAGTATTAATTCATAATAATGTGATTATTAAGATATTGATGTCATTTTTGATGCAAAGGCAAGAAGATACAATACTTCCAAATGCCAACTGCAGTTCGCTGTTGGTATAGGAAGTAACCATGGCAATTTTTCTGCAGCTGAGGCTATGCTGTACATTTTAAATTGCAGAGAGTGTGCATGAATGACATGAGGTTATGTTTGAAATGTCAGAAAAGGATTCAAGTTTATTAAAATATTCATGGATGATCTAGTTAAAATATTCTGCCAAGGTCAGATGTAATAAACAGCTGATCATAAGAAAAAGGGATGTATTTGGGGTTTTAGCCTTCACACCCCCAGGAAAAAAAAAACCCTGCACACAAAACATTTATTTAACTCTATCCATTCAAAGGTAGAATTTCTCCCCTCTGATTTGAGTTTTTCTTTGTATTTCATTCACTGACCAATACATCCAAATCATGAAACCCAAAACAGGAATTTCACTAGTTTATTCAACACCACACCTGTATTGTCTCCTCATTGAAGTGAACTGAAAGGTTTTTTTTTTATTTTAACCCAAGAAATTTGAGTCAAAAGCAAAATTACCTATTTTCTCAAATTATTTAATCACCTAGAATAGTAGTACTTTATGCGCAAACAATTTCTGTTGAATAAATATTATACCAGCGACAGAACAAACCTAGAAAATCTAAATCTAGTATACAAATTCATGCTTTTAGTTCAAGTTGTGCCAAAACCTGAAGCCAGAGAGCAGTGAAAGGAGCCTGAGAGACCTAGGAAACTAGACTCAGGGGACAAGATTATACATTTGCCCTCTTGGCATGATGCTTCAGGCACTAAGAATTAGTTTCATTGTCAGCTTCAATTCAATGCTAGTCCAACCGATAGACTGGTCCTCCACTACCAGAAAGTGCACTCAATTCTATGTTAATTTGCATCAAGTCATAGTATCATAAAAAAGTCTTTAAGATGTGTAGTGTTCCTCCCCACTGCAAGACCTCTATCACAGACTGATAAATTCTATTCGATTTTAAAGATTTCTAGGGAAAAAGATTCTATCCTTTATTAAGGTTACCTTATGGCTATTGCCCAAGATTCATGATATTGATATAGTCAATATATCTTGATGAACAGAAGCCAGATCTGTTCAAAACGAGGTACTTATTTCCCAGTTTGCAATGAGTTGTGATACAACTACAGTTCCTTTGGAATTTTTTCAATCAGGACATGGAGGAGTTGTGGTTCCTAGGAACACCTGTTGTAGATGCCACTTAATCTTCAGCTTAGCTGTCACGTCCTGCCCATAAACGGAGTCTTCTTCCCTTCTTTCTTGTACAAGTTGGGATCATATGTCTAGGCTGAATATATCTCTGCTGATGTCAGAGTGTCACATAGCACCAAGGGGAAAAGAGGACAGCCAGGATGTCTCTTGGTTTGCAGAAAGGGAAAACTCCAGCAAAATAATGAGATATTTTCTGAATTCTGAACAGTGCCATTGAAAAAATTGCTCAGAAATAAAGATGTGAACTCTAAGCTCATGGTGCAGGCATCTATATAATTGTTTTGAAATGTGTGTGTGTTTTTTTAATCTCAGTGGCTATTTTAAAATTTTATTTGTACATTATAAATCATCTCAGTATGTTTTTTGAGTCCCAACAGTGGAGAGTGAGGTTTTAATAAATCAAATAAGCCTTCATTGCTTAAGCCTTCCTCTTCATATATTCCCACTGAATAGTGAAGTTGTTGGAAAGTAAAATATAAAGGTGCATCACCCTTCATTAAATACTGCCCCTTTATACCAAAACAAAAGGCCCACCAGCTGAAAAACAGCACATGGAACATCAGAAGTGGAAGGCACCATAGAGGCCATCAAACCCAATCTTCTTCTTTTATAAATTAGGAAATTTAATCCCAGAGAGAGGTGAAGTGTCTTGCCCAAGGTCACACAATGGCAGCGTAGGAATAAGAATTTGGTGTTTCTAGGTCCTAAGCCAGAGATCTCTCCACTATCCCATACTAATTCGTTGGCATGAAATATTTGGCTGAAACAAAGGCCAAAAGCCACGAAAGGGAAGAAATTGCTTTTATATTCAACCCTGGTTATATGCCAAAGGAAAGTCATCTGCATGTCAATTTTGGGCAGCAATAATGTGGAGAATAAAGATGGCACCTTACACTTTAAGCCCACATAGAACTAGATTTGTTTTCCTAGCTAAGATTACCTTCTAAGAAGAGATTACTTTTTGGTGCAACTTGATTAGAGAACTCCCTCATTCCTTGTTCTCCTGGTGGGTTCAATGCATTCTAGTTCTAAATCTGACCCTCTGACAACACCGCCTTTTTTCTTATTATCTTTGTAGCATGACTTTTGCTTCCTCTCATCACTGAATTTCCAAGGCCTGTGAATACCCAAAGCCCTTCTCATTGTTCACCCCAAACTTCTCATTCCAACTTTCCAGACTGGATGCAATAGAACCATAGACTCTGAGTTAAAAGGAACTTTGGCAGCAACCTATCCAATCCCCGCACCAAAGGAATCTCCACTTTAATGGTAGATCTAGTTTTTACTTAGTCTCCCTTGATTTGGAGATCAAGAATAAACTATGGTGTTCCAAACATTTTTCCTCCAATAGTATCTAAATTAGAGGAGATAAAATCCTGAAGAGAGCAACCAGTCAGAAACTTTCAATTCATGGTGTCCACTTCTCTACATCAGATATTCATTTTTTTAACCCCTTTCTGAAACTGATTCACCAATTCCTTTGGTTTACCTTTAGCCACATAGACATGGTATAAAAGGTCTTGTGTGACTATTGGTCAGGCTTCAAGGTTCCAAGAGGAGGTATTTTGCATACTGATCAGGGGAAGTCCTGGTCCAGATGTGAAGATCCAACATAACTGATGTAAATATGGATATACATTGGACCCTTGACTTCAGTGGTATAAGGAACATTTGGATGATGACACTGCCCCTCTTAATGCGGTCATCTTCTTTATAGTTTATAATCTTAGAAAATTGTCTACAACTCTGAGAGCTCAAGCGACTTGCCTCACATCACACAGCCAGTGTATGTGTGTGTGTGTGTGTGTGTGTGTGTGTGTGTGTGTGTGTGTGAAAGAGAGAGAGAGAAAGAGAGAGAGAGAGAGAGAGAGAGAAAGGCCTTATACCAAGGATTTCCTGTCTCCAAGGCCAAGTCTCCATCCATCAGGTCCCGATGATTTTCAATCAATGTAGAATAACTTACGTAGTCAAAAAATCAAGGTAACATGAAACTTTCTCTATTATAGGTTGAGAAAAGATCCCCTTATTTAAATTTTGGTCAGAATACTTAAATACTATTTGATTTCCTAAAACCAAAAAAATTAAAAGGATGAGTATATAATAGTGTAATATTATAATATATAATGTAGTATAATAATATAACAACAAACATTTCATCAAGCCATCAATCAATAAATATTAAGCACCTGCCGTGTGTTAAGCACTGCACATCTATATAGTGGTCTGAAGTTTGTAAAGTACTTTACATTCATAATCTCATTTAAGCCTCGCAACAATCCTGTGAGGAGGGTACTAAGTGTATTATCCCCATTTTATAAATGAGGAAACCAAGTCTCAGAAAAGTCAAATGACTTGCCCAGGGTCAGGTGAGAAGTGCATGTATCATTAGGCATCACTTAAAGTTGCACAAATTTTCCTATCACTACTAATGTTCTGAGTTAAAGACCTCAACATTTTATTGAAAGTTATCCTCAAATTTGGTTGCCACTTCCTTTTTTTAAAATTACATTAATGTTGAAAGAACCATTTCATGATGAAGAGGTAATAAGAAAGTGACAATAGGACTATGTCCTGAGAATAAACTGAGAACTTAAGTAGAGTTAGTCATTTTATTTATAAGCTTCAGTTGATAATTATTCATATAAAGTATTGGTCTGAGAGTCAGAGAGTCCAGGCTCAACTTCCAGCTCCCACATTTAACTCTCTATATATCATGGAGAAGTCCCTGTCTTCCTGGGCCTCAGTTTCTTCAACTGTAAAATGATGAGATTGGACTAAAGCTCCTCTAAGCTCCCTTCCAGATCTAGATAAATAATGCTCAGATCCTCAGATAACCAAAGCCTATTCCATCAGCAACCACACCAAGAAGTTGCAGATTCTTTGATTAGTTTTTTATAGTTTGCCTGCAAAATCAAATTTATAAAGGACTATTTTTCTTTTTTCATAATACTTGATAATTGAAAGATCTGACTCAGGACAGCTCTTTTAATGACTTGATTCTATAGAAACAATTTTTATTACCAGAGTGAGGTTACAAATTAAGGAGGAATTCCTACTGATTTTTTTAATGTAGCTCTGTTTGCTTGCACCTTAACAAAGTTGTATAGCAGTTGGTAGAAATGAAAATGGTGCATTTTATTATTAAATTAAAGATTGAAATAACCAGCATGCTAAGTGACTTCCTGATT